TTCTGCAGATCTTTGCTCCCCACTGCTGTCAGACTCCAGAACAAAGACTTTGCAGATGACCAAACACACACATCCACACATGTGAAATAAAGTGCAATTTTTCTTTTTTCTGACAACGTACTATTTAATTCAGTTGTATATAGTATTTAATGCAATTGTATATAGTATTTAATGCAGTTGTATATAGTATCCTATTCTTATTATCTTATCCAAGTCCATTATTTTTCTTAATTTTTGCTACTGTAACTTTGCACTGTCCACTTCCTGCTGTGACACAACAAATTTCCCACGTGTGGGACTAATAAAGGTTATCTTATCTTATTTTTTATTTTTTTGGACAACTTTATTTATAATTTTCCAATATGACAAAAGTACAGAAAAATATAACTCGAATTGCGATTACAAACACTGCCATTGTGAAACTGGTTACGCCACGCAGAGCATCAATCTTACCACAAAGTTCAGTCCGCACTTCATCTATTTGGTCAGAAACATTGCTGCGAAGCGAATCGATCAGCTCATTAAGAGCTTGGCACTTGGTCTCAACTTTTGCTTCCAGCGTAGAAATTTTGGCGACTACGTTCTTCTCCGAGTTAGCTATGGCAGCCATTAGCGCGGCCGTGTCCAGGGATGTAGCATTGCTATCATATGTATCATATGCTATCATATTGCCTTGGCTCCATCAGTCTTTCTGGTGTTTTTGGATTCTGACATTGTTGCAAAGTTCCCTTGGGTGATGCGCACGTTTGCAGTGATAACTCAGCTGACGACAGATAATGCGTTAGTGCCCAATGTCGCAGTATTTATTTGAAAAAATAGCGTATCCCCACAGAGCAACTCAGCCACGCGTCTTTACATGTCGCTGCTCCTACGTCACCCCCATCTTATCTTATTTTAAGGTAAATGACAGATTTGTTATGTGTCCAAACCCTACAAGTTTGCTACGATGTGATAAAACAGAGTATTTTGTGTCAAAGTTTACTTTCATGGGCAGAGCTGCGTAGGCCTCAGTGAGTGACTTTTACCCTTCAGCAAATAGTGAACCCACTCTGCAACTTCACATGCTTATCAAATATCTAGAAGAAATACATTTTACAAGCTAAGTTGTTGCAGGTGTGGCATCCCATTACTGTAGCACACTGCACTCTTTCTAACAATTCATTCTTTCACAAATGAAACAAACTGGCCAGGTAACTGACAACAGCTGAATTCAAATCATTGTATTGACCCAATACGTTTGTCCATGTATTGCGTATGAAGCTTATAGCAAATAAAGAGACACCCTTTGTGCTGAATTTTTTACATGTGGAATAAACAACAATCTTTTCCATTATAATAAAGTTTGTAAGAGCTGTGAAGGAGTTTTCCACTTTAGCAGTAAATACAGATCTTGGTAGTACAGCCTAACAGACAGCAGATGGCACTAAGGTCTTGTGCTGAAAAATGCAGTAACTGTG